GGCGTGTCCACAGGGTTCAACGTGCCCTGGCAGTGCAGGAAGGATGTTTGCAGCCAGCAGATAAAATGAATTATTTGTCCTTTGCCTTTTTGATAGGGAATCTCTTTGCATGGGAACAGGCAGTGCCATTTCACAGCTCAGTAAAAACCAAAGTCAAGAAATTTAAGTTGTTCCCTTGGAAACGTAGGCTGGTGTCCACTGCTCTCCACTCCTTGCTTCAGTGGGCCTTCGTGATTAGGGGCAGAGTGTCCTTGTCCACATTGTGCTGGGAGAGTGGATGGGAGGTGACTCCTGCCAGGCACGTGCGTGAAGAGAAGGGTCTGGGGAGTCTGCTGCCAACTCAGCCAGAGGAGGGTGGGGGAGTGGTGGCACCACAGGTCTTGCTGCCATCCACACTGTCACCACAGTGCCACACTGGGAGGACAGCCAAGAGCAGGCTGGGGTTTCTTTCCCTGCACCTGGGCCATTCAGCACATTGCACCCTGCAGAGCCTGTGTTCCCTGCAGAGTCTGTGTCACCCTGCAAGCCTCTGTCAGGTACAAGACCTCCTCTCTTGCCTTGTGCAGAGCTGGGCTCACCCACAGCACACACAGCAGGCTGAGAGCTGTGTGGCTGAGCTCAGGGCATGGTCAGGGGGCTGTGGGGTGCTCAGGTGACCTGCACAGCTTCCGGTTCCTAGGTAGGCGGCTCTGTGAGCTGCCTTTGGAGTTTCCTTCCCACATGGCTCTGTGCAGCACTCAGGGCACGGGATGCATGGACACCCCCTCCTTGCTCGGCTGCGAGCCTTTGCTTAGGTGAGACACCAGCATCTGACTCCACGCATGTGCCTCACAGACCATGAAAGTGTTTTCCCAAAATGCCACCTCATCAGTTCTGTTAGCTGGGAGCTTTCTTAGAAAAGCAGACACTAAAACTGTCACAGCGGAAGGCGGAGCTGCTCCGTCCGTTCACTTGCTGCTCAGGGTGCCTGGAGATCTGGCACTGTCAGCTCTGGGAGCAGCTGGAGAGGAGTGTATTTCCCTGCACAAGGGCTGCCCTTTTTTTTCATATCAAGTACTTAATCTCTAGCCAGACCTAAT